CTGGGACTGCACCTGATATTGCTGACCCCGTAACCCCACGGTCCCTGGCAGGTTCCCACTGAACCTGCTCAGGGTCATGGGATCAGGGACTGGCTGCGGCACATGGGCCATGAAGACTGGGTGCCCAGCTGCCGCCAGCACCTGTGCAGTGAGCACTTCACACCATCCTGCTTCCAGTGGCGCCGGGCTGTGTGCTCCCTGCAGCCTGATGCAGTGCTGTCCATTTTCTCCCCGGCACCCCCCTGCTAAGGTGAGCAAAAGGAGGTCCCACTGCTGGAGTCTGACCCCCAGTCTTCCCCACCTGGAAATAATCCGTGGAGTCTGATCCCCAGCCCTCCTCTCCTGAGAGAAGTTCCTCCTTGAGGTCTGGCCTTATCTGAGGGCAGTACCCCTCGGAGTCTGGCCCTGATGCCCCCACGCCTGCCCCCCCCCCCAATCCCATGCCTTGTCTTCCAGAGGCAGCAGAGTTCCCGAAGCACTGAGAAGCCAGGCGTGCCTCCCTCCCCACCGGAGGCCACGCCCCTATCCCCAGGGCCAGCTGCGTGGCCCCTGGTCCCTTGCACCTCGTGGTACTGGGGTCAGCATCCGGAGGCCCTGAGGCCACGACCACCGTGTTCCTGACCCCCCTGCCCCCTGCTCCTGCCGGGCCACAGCCTGGAGTCCGGGCCCAGCACCCCCTGGCCAGGCTGGGCACAGTCCTGGAAGCGCTGCAGCGGCGGGTGCGGAGACTGCAGCGGCGCCAGGAGCAGCCCCAGGGGCAGCTGCGGGCTATGGAACAGCTGGGGCAGCAGGTGTGCAAGGAGGGCCTGCCACCTAGGGGCATCGGGGCCTGCCGCGCCTGGTGAGTGGGGCCACCTGGCCCCCATAGCATATGTATTTTCTTTTTTTTTTTTTAAGATTTTATTTATTTTTTGAGAGAGAGACAGCGAGAGCGGGAATACAAGCAGGGGGAGTGGGAGAGGGAGAAGCAGGCTTCCCGCTGAGCAGGGAGCCCGATTTCGGGGCTCCATCCCAGGACCCCGGGACCATGACCTGAGCTGAAGGCAGACACTTAACCGACTGAGCCACCCAGGCACCCCCATATGTATTTTCGTTTAAACTAGAGTCCAGTATTTAAAAGTCAGAACATTTCACTCATGTTTCCAAGTTTCTAGCTTGTCTTGAAAAGAGTCCATCTGGCAACGCCTACCAACTATTGGTCAGAGCAGGGTAATGGCTGCTCTATTTATTAATAATATTTAAGGAGCCCTTACTCTCTGCCAGGCAGCATTAATAACTTACTGAAAACTCACTATGACCTTGATGCGGCTCTGGTCCCCATTTTTCAGATGAAAAAACAGGTGCCAGGATGCTACAGTCACTTGCCCAAAGTCAGGCAGCCAGGAAATTGCAGAACCAGGATTTGAACCAGGTATCTGACTGCACAGGAGGCTAGCTCTCTCCTGTTGGAGAGCTCCTTGCCTGGCTCCTAATAGAGCTTGAGTTTGCAACCTATCTCCTAGAGGCTCCCCGACCCCATCTAAAGGCCCTTTTACTCCTGTATCTTACTACTGAGTATTGGAGGAGGGTATCCTGTCTTGAAGAATCAGTTTGACCAGGACTTTTCCCTGCTTAAAACCCCCAGAGCCAAGTTTGAGGTCCCAGGGCTCTCAGCCCTGGCTGGACAAGAGAAGTGGGAAGGGGTTTCAGAAAGGAGCCCCTCCGGAATGCCTGGGTGGCTCAGTGGGTTAAACAATCTGCCTTTGGCTCAGGTCATGATCCCTCAGTCTCAGGATTGAGCCCCTCATTGGACTCCTTGCTCAGCAGGGACCCTGCTTCCCCTTCTGCCCCTCACCCCACTCATGTTCTCTCTCTCTCACTCTCTCTCTGTCTCTCTTTCAAATAAATAAAATCTTAAAAAAGAAAAGGGTCTTTAAACAAAAAGGAGCCCCCCAAAGTAGCCCTGTAGCTAAGGTGTCTCAGCCTGACAGCCAATGGGTTGGACATGGCTCACAGATAGGATTTTTTCTGGCCTCAACAACAGTGTTTTAAAATAATTTTTGGTCTTTCCTGAAGGCTCAGCAGATGTAGCAGCACTGGGTTCGTATTCGCAGCTAGTAGCAGTCAGCCGGAACTGCAATGTGCCTGCCCCTGGACGCTCTGTGTTTGAGACAATGGCCTGACCATGCTGGGGCATAAAGGAGACATACAGAAGAGCAGGGACAGAGCTCCAACTCAGGCCTGGGACTCTTCATGAAGCCTGCCAGGGCCCCTGGGCTGACAGTGTCTCTCTGCCTCCGCTGCCCCCATTCAATCCTATTTTTCCATGTCCTTCTCTCTTCCCACATTCATCTTTATGTTTTTGCTGCCCCATCTCTCTGCCCTCCTATCTGTCTCCCCATTTCCCCACTGCTCTCTTCACCTGCATCTTTCTGTGTCCCTCATATCACTGTCCCTCTCTGTCTTCCTCTTTGTTTGGCCTACCTCCATATCTGTCTCTCCATGTCCCCCACATTTTCCTCTGTCCCCATACTTCTTTATTCCCCCCACGAATGTCTCTCTGGCCTCACATCTCTTCCCGTCTCCCCACAAATCTCTCTGCCCACATCTCTCTGTGTTCCCTGACATCCCCCTCCCACCTTGGCCTCCCTATTCTTCATCATTTCTTCCCCCGTCCTCTCTGCCCTCTCTCCTGCCCTCCCCTCTTTCCCCTATGTTCTCCATCTCTATCACTTCTTTGTCTGGGACTGCCCAGCTCCCTGGACCTGAGAATCCCATCATCTGTGGAGGGCCTGACATAGCTGTGGTCATTGCCCAGAGTCCTGCACCTCCCACACTGGATGCCAAGCCTGAGCTCCTGGACACTGAGACCCCCAGTGCATAAGGACCAGGACAGATAATGTTGTGGGACAGATGACAGAAAACAAAGGAAGAGGGGCGCCTGGCTGGCTCAGTCGGTAGGCGGCTGCCTTCGGCTCAGGTCATGGTCCCGGGGTCCCGGGATCAAGCCCCACATCGGGCTCCCTGCTCGGTGGGAGGCCTGCTTCTCCCTCTCCCACTCCCCCTGCTTGTGTTCCCTCTCTCACTGTGTCTTTCTCTGTCAAATAAAATCTTAACAAAACAAAACAAAACAAAGGAAGAGATAGTCCTCATACATGGGCCTACCTAGCCCCACCACCCATGCCTGGGCCATTGTAGGACCTCCTTCAAGGGCCTGGCTCCAAGCACCCCCTTCTACGGACCCCTTGAACCTTGGGGCTGACCTGAGCCCAAGCCCCATCAATCCTTATTCCCCTTGGTGCCAGGTTCCTGCTACCCCTAGCTTGAACCTTTGCAGTCAGTAAAACAGTCTCAAAGCAGAACAAGGATTGTTTATTTGGGAAGAATGGTACCTGGTTCTGAAGAGCCCCTCATATCCTTTGCCAAGTATGGTGCTGAGCTGGGTATATAGCAGTGAACACAGCCAATAAAATCCTGCCCTCATAGTGCTCCTATTCTGCTTGAGTGGAAGTCAAACTAGTAAACTAATAAACAAAATAATTTCAGATTGTGATAAGCGCTGTAAAGACTAAATGAAAATGTAATGGGGTGGGGGTGGCAGATGGATGGATGAAGAGGACTGTCTAAGGAGACAGTGTTTGAGCAGACACCTGGATGAGAAGACCTGGTGTGGAGGCATACGGGCTGGATGCTCCAGGGAGAAGAACAGCCCCTGGAAATGCCCAACATCCAGGGGGTCAGCTGGAGGAAGGCGGTGTTGCTATGGCAAAAACTGAAGCAGGGGAGGGAGTGTATGTGTGGGGGGGTGCAATTTTAGAGCAGAGAAGGTGCCAATAAGTAAAATCCTAAACGAGGGGAGAGAGGGAACCAAGTGTCTGGGGGAGGAGCATTCTGGGCAGAAGGAAAGGTCAGTGCAAAAGTCCTGCACTGAGGAGGAGAAAGGAAGCCAGTGTAGTGCAGTAGATTCGGGGGAAAGTGAGAGATGTTGGAGAGATGATGGGGGAAATTTCACCTAGGGCCTTGTGGGCTGCGGTTGAGAACATTGGTTTTTAATCTAGAATGAGGTGCAGCAAGCAGATGTCTCCGAGTCAAGGAGGGCCCTGATGGGGGTGTGTTAGGTCCCTGTGGCTGCATTATAGGGAGCAAGTTGCGGGGGGGAGAACAGGGAAGAGGCTGCTGTCATAGTCCAGGTGGGAGAGGATGACGGAAAGACCAGGATGAGGGCCTGCGTGTGGGGTGAGGGGGTGAGGGACAAAATTCTGGAAGGAATATTTTGGAGATGGAACTTACCAGCCCTGACCATTAGAAGGATGAAGGGTGGAAGGCAAAGTCACCCAGTCCTCTTTGGGCTGGGGTTGTGGGCAGTGCAGGCCACAGCCAGGCAGGCGTGACAGCCAAACCAAGATGAAGGAGCCAGGAAGGCCTGGACCCTGGGCTGGCTCCAGGTCTTCTTGGGGGATATTCAGGTTTGGAGAGGTTCATTGGCAGCTCTGCCCCTAGACACTGCTACAGCCATGTAGCATGGTGATTAAAAACCCAGACTCTGCAGCCAGGCTGTCTGGTTTCAAGTCTTAGCTCCATTACCTATTTGCTGTGTGCCCTTGGGCAACTGGCTTAACCTCTCTGAGCCTGGTAAGTTCTCTGTGAGCACTCTGTGATGATAACCACGATGACTGATGACCAAAGAGGATGAAAGGAGTCTACAAAATCATCCCTCTGAGACACCCTTTATATGCGGTGAGCATGGAGAAGGGGTTAGGTCTGAGACCTCAGAGAGAGAAAACATCATCACCACCACACCAAGACCCCTGCCCTAACTGGCCTGGTTTGCGGGCCTGCGGGAAGCCTCCATCCCAGGGGTATGCACAAAATAGAACTGGGCCCGCTTTCCCATTCCTCTCCTTTTGCCCTTGTTTCTGCTTCATCTCTCTCTGTTTTGATGCCTCACATCCTTTTTCGTGACCATCTCTTCTTTCTCTCCCCATCCTCCGTGTCTCTCCCCTTCCCGACGCTGCCTCAAGTCTTTTCATCAAAGCGAGGAGCCTCCCAGTATCTCCGCCCCCGCGCCTGGTTGGGGGTAACATTGCGCATGCGCCGTCTGCGCCCCTCCCTCTCCACCCCCATCCCCTGTCGGCGTCTGGGCCTCGTCCCCTTCTGTCTCTCTCTGCTCCCCCATCACTTCCCCGGACACTGACACCCCATTACTCCAGTCTCTCCAGTCTCAGCTTTGGTCTTCAGCCCCATCCGCCCCAGGTAAGATGGGTAGAGGGGAGGCCCGCGGAGAAGGGGAGGGGCGAAGCATCCTGCCTCCCGAGATAAACAAACCCGGGGAGGGGGCGGCCTAGACTGAGGAGCCTGACGCGGGAGGAGAAGAATGGGGGGCTGGACCTGGGGGAAGTGCTAGGCGCTGGGCCCACATACCAGGGTCCTCTGAGGGGTAATGGTCGTCGCTATGATTGCCCAAAATCCAGAGCTGGGGGCGTGGGAGCCACTGGGGGCCTTGGAGCTTCTGGGAGCTTTTGGGGGCTTAGACCCTGGACCCTGTGAGGCGCTCTCTATAACTGACCGCTGTCTCCAGGATTTGCCTGAAAGCCGCCCCCAACTCTGCACCCACCCCCCGGAGGGCCATTGAAGACTATGACTAAGACAGATCCCGCTCCGATGGCCCCTCCACTCCGGGGGGAGGAAGAAGAAGAGGAGGAGGAGGAGGAGCTGGTCCCCGAGGCCCCCAGCCCCACCCAGGAGCGCCGGCAGAAGCCTGTTGTGCACCCCTCAGCACCTGCCCCCCTCCCCAAGGACTACGGTAACCACCCTCCCCACCCTGCAATTTGGTCTGGAGCCTTGGGTGGCCAGGGAGGTTGGGCTGAGCTCTGCTGGTGATTCTGGGGGCTTTGAAAGTGGTCCAGGGGAGTCTTGGCCCTTGGACCCCCCCTTCATTAATTTATTCATTCATCCGTTGGAGAATGCAATTGGAATATCCTAATCTTTGATTCATGACACATCATTCAGTCATTCAACAAACATTTGCTGAAAGCCTGTCATGGACCTGGCTCTATGCTAGGAGCTTGGAGCAAAGCATGGAGCCACACAGACCCAGTCTTTGCCCTGAGAGAACTTACAGGCCTCAATGACAACTTACACAGATATAATATAAATATATAATTACAAGACATGATGAGAATTGTGTTTGCCAAGAATCGGATGCTGCAGGAGCTTTTTAAGACATGGTTTCCATGAGGAGGTAGCATTTGAGGAAGACCCAAGAATGAATTGGGGTTTAACGAGGGAAAGGGCCAGGGGAAGGGAATACCCAGAGAGATAACTGCAGGAGTAAAGGCTCTGAGGTAGGAAGTTGTGGAGCAGGGAGGATGGCCTCTTGGAGAACCTGAAAGTGTCTAATCATTCACCAAGCATATTTATCCATTGCTACTACTCTGTGGCAAGCCTTATTCTGGGTGACAGATTTAATGGTGAGTGATCCAAGCATGATCCCTGTTCTCAGGAGGGAGCAAGTAATAGTTAAATCTGAAAAGTTCAGATGGAGTGAATGCTATGGAAGAAATAAAAGAAATAAAAGAGGGACATATAATAGGGGGGCAGCACCTTGAGATGGAGTGGTCAGAGTGGGTCTTTCTGATTATGGTGGCATTTAGGCTGAAGCCCAGAGCATGAGGAGGAATCAGCTGTAGGAGAGCTGGAGAAAGATAGTTCCTGGCTGTGAGCACCAAGTGCAAAAGCCTGAGGCAGGAACAGAAGACCATCCTGGAGCTGTAGTTAGGGAGTGATGGGAGTTGAGGTGAGGGTTTGGCAATGACTAGATCTTGGAGGGCCTTAGGGGCTACTGTGAGGACGTTGAATAAGTGTGATGAAGAGAGAGCAGTTGGTAGGGAGATACTTAAAAGCAGTGGAGTGGTGGATCTGATTTATATTTTTGATTTATATATATATATTTTAAAGATTTTATTTATTTACTTGAGAGAGAGAATGAGAGACAGCACGAGAGGGAAGAGGGTCAGAGGGAGAAGCAGACCCCCCGCTGAGCAGGGAGCCCGATGTGGGACTCGATCCAGGGACTCCAGGATCCATGACCTGAGCCGAAGGCAGTCGCTTAACCAACTGAGCCACCCAGGCGCCCTTGATTTATATTTTTAAAAGTTCCCTCTGGCTACTGGATACAGAGGGTGGAGGGGGCTTTTAGAAGATGTTGGCTGGGAATCCCCAGCAGCTGTAAGTTCAGAAACTAGACACCAGGTTCAAAGAGCTGGCATCGCTAGGATAGGGCAGGAGGGATGGCCTCTGTGGCCATATCACCCGCTAGAGGTGGGTCAGAGAGGCTCCAAGTTGAGCTCAGTCTGATAGAAAAATAAGAACGTTATCTGGGTGTCAGGTGCAGGGAATCCATGCCAGGAAACTGGAAATCTCATTTGGAAATGTAGCTATATGTGGCTGGGGCCTGTGGCCTGGTGGGAAGTCAGAGGGTGTAGGCTGCTCCCTGTGCCCCACCCCCACCTCCCTCAGAATCTTGCTTGTAGAACAAGGAGGGTTTGGTCACAGAACATGAAGGAATCTGGAAATGTGGTCTAGGAGAGAGAGACAGCTAAGGTGGACTCGTTGAAGAATTTGTGTATTTGTGTATTAAATGTGTGCAATTAATTCAGCAAACATTGATTGAGCACCTACTGCATGCCAGCCGCGACGGTGGGCCTTGGGGGGCAGGGAGTGAGCAGACAGCACGGAAGCATAGTCCTTACATCCTAGTGAGGGAGACACGTGAGAGAGGAAAAGAGGAAAAAAGAGGGAAGAAGAGAAACAGGAAAAGAGGAAGGGAGAACGGGAAGGAAGGAGCAAACAAGTTAATGTTAAGTAGTGGGATATGCTGTGATTAAAGAAAGAATAAAGGGCCCGGGATGGAGAAGGGCACAGGCACTGATTTACACAGGGTAGTCTGGGGAGGCCTCCCTGAAGAGGTGACATTGGAGTAAAGCCTGCAAAGCCCCGAGAAGGCTTGGGGAAAACACTGTCCCAGGCAAGCAAAACAGCAAGTGCAAAGCCACTGAGACAGGAATTTGCCTGGTGTGTTGGGAGGACAGAAGGAGTCAGTGTGGCTGGGTGAGAGGGAGAGGGCAGAGAACAGACAAGGCCAGTTTGTGCAGGGCTTGTGGGCTGCGGGGAGGACAGTGGTCAGTACTTGGGAGTGTGTCGGGGGAAGCCAGGGCCAGGTCCTGAGCCAAGGAGGGCTGTGACGTGACTGGGGTTCCAAAAGGAGCACACAGGCTGATTTCTGGAAACGCGGTGTCTGTGGCCCTTTCCCGGGCTGTGTGACATCCAGGTGTTCATTTCCTCGTTCATTCATTACGCGCAGAGCTCCTGCCTCGGGCCAGGCCCTGTGCCGAGTGTTGACAATACTACAGAGAGCACCAGTCATCAGAGCCTGGTCGGGGGAGATGCAAGTTCCTCTAGACTCCCACCCTGGCTGGCTGCAGGTTGGATCCTGCGCATGGGTACATTTTAATGTGTACTGCACGGTATTTGAAAAATGGAGATTTTTCTTAAAAACCAGGTTTTTCTGGCCTTTTTACTTGGGATTTAGCCAAACTGTGCCCATTCTGAGCCAGGGTCGTAGTGCGCTAGAGCAGTGACCCCCCCCCCAGGGCCCAACCCCCCGGGTGGGGGGCACGTGCAGACTCAAAATACCGCACTCCTTCCACACTCTTGTTTCAAGGAGTGGAGTTTGCTGCTCTGTAGGATTGTTGGATCTTCCAACTTTGCAAGACACCTGAGGCATCCAGAGTTTGATGTGAAACCTCCTGATCTTGAAGCCTCATGCTGGCCACAGAGAAAATGTCTGTGGCTCATGCACCATATGGTTTGAGACCATGCATTAGAGGATCTTAAAGGCAAAGGCCTAGAGCTGCCCTGCCTCAGGATGGAAAGAGGGGGTCAGCTTGCCTGGGGTGACTTTGGACCTCTTACTACCCTAGCCTTCACATTCTTCGATCCCAATGACCCGGCGTGCCAGGAGATTCTCTTTGACCCCCAGACCACCATCCCTGAACTGTTCGCCATTGTGCGCCAGTGGGTGCCCCAAGTCCAACACAAGATCGACGTCATCGGCAATGAGGTAAGATACTTGGGAAGCCAGGGAGGGAGAGGATAGGGTCCCTCACATGTTTGGGTAAACCTCTCTGGACCCCGGTTCTCCCAGATTCTGCGTCGAGGCTGCCACGTGAATGATCGTGATGGGCTGACCGACATGACACTGCTCCACTATGCGTGCAAGGCTGGGGCCCACGGAGTTGGTAAGGTCCAAACCCCCAAAGCATGAGCCCCTGCACCTAGGCCCCCAGACTGGACACCCTCAAAACCACTCAGAATCCCGGCCTTCAGACCGCCACCCTGAATCCACAGCCTAAGATGCCAAAGCGCGGTCCCTGAGGCCCAGGGCCTTCCCCATGCCTTGGGCCCAGGCTCTGGAGGAGGGGACGCAAGTTGAGCTGGGCTGTTGCGCAGGGGACCCCGCTGCGGCCGTGCGCCTTTCACAGCAGCTGCTGACGTTGGGCGCTGATGTAACGCTGCGCAGCCGCTGGACCAACATGAACGCGCTTCATTACGCTGCCTACTTCGATGTGCCCGACCTGGTGCGCGTGCTGCTGAAGGGCGCACGGCCAAGAGGTGAGTGGGAGGGTCTGGGCTGGGAGGGGATGGGACCCAGGCTAAGGAGGAGGCTGGAAGCAGGAGGAGGGTGTGTTTGGGGGAGGAGGTGGGGGAAGGGTGAGGGGACCGGGATCCGAGGAGATAGTGGTAGGTTGGAGGCAAGAGGTGTGGGAGACGGGGCCCAGACATCCGTGACCCATCCCCAGGGCTGAGCAGGAACTGGTTGGGAGGGGCGGGGCTCTGCATGCGAGGCTATGGGAGGCACTGGGGCCTGTGGGTTGTGAGATGGACTTGGGGAGGCTGTAAGGTGGTGTTGGGGGGCCAGGCGGGGTGCTGAGGCCACTCATCCGGAACCCTCCTCTCGCCCACAACCCAGTGGTGAACTCCACGTGCAGTGACTTCAACCACGGCTCAGCCCTGCACATCGCTGCCTCCAACCTGTGCCTGGGTGCAGCCAAATGTTTGCTGGAGCATGGTGCCAACCCGGCGCTGCGGGTACTACACCCCTGGCCCAGCCCCCAGTGTCTCCCTTCTCCTTCCTTCCCCACCCTTTCCAGCCAGCAGAGGATGAGGGGGGCCAGGACCATTTGCGTTTCTGGAAGCTCATTACAAAAATCATTTGTACATTCAACAAATGAAGTGATAGCTGGTATTTACCATCACATGGTCTCATTGCAGGCTTGGGATCTCCCAGGGCACGGCTTCCCTAAGATCATGACCCAGAGACTGAAGTGTGACCTTCATTCCCTTGGCTCCACCCCTAGTTCCACCCTCAATTACTTGGGATCCCTAGCCTTAGGTTGAGGGTGGATTTCCTGGGGGACATGGTCTATACCTCAGTGCCTCACCCCTTCTTATTCCCATGTTGGCCTAGGGTCTGACCTAGTTCTACCATGGCTTTACCTAGACTGGGGTCTCTGGGAGCATGGGCTCAGCGGAGGTTCAGCCTGTGCCCCGAGTCCTCACTTCCTTTCTTCCCATTGGCCCCCAGAACCGAAAGGGACAGGTGCCAGCGGAGGTGGTCCCAGACCCCATGGACATGTCCCTGGATAAGGCAGAGGCAGCATTGGTGGCCAAGGAGCTGCGAACCCTGCTGGAGGAGGCTGTGCCGCTCTCCTGTGCCCTCCCCAAGGTCACGCTACCCAACTATGACAACGTCCCGGGCAATCTCATGCTCAGTGCACTGGGCCTGCGCCTGGGAGACCGCGTGCTGCTGGATGGCCAGAAGGTCAGAGACTGGGGAAAGGTGGGGAGGGCAGGCCTCCATGCCTCAGGGCTGGGTCCTTGGACAGAGTGTAGACCCTCTCCTTTGGCCACCCACCCTCCCAATCATTCCCACAGTTGTTCTGTGAGTGCTTCCTTTGTGCCCCACCCTGGGCTGAGCTCTCGGTCCAGGGAGGGAAGACAGATCTGTCACCTGACAGGGACAGCCCATAATAGTCATGGCTGTCACCAGGAAGCACAAGCAGAGTGATCAGTGCAGCTCTGCACCTGTGAGTTCCCCTGGGCCTTGTGGGCCCCAGTCAGGGCCCACCTCTGCTCCCAGAGTGGTCAGTACTTTGGGGAAAAAAAGGACAGGTCAGAATGATCAGGGGTATGATGGGACGAATGCACCCCCTTGAAGATAAGGAGGGATGAGCCAGGAAAAGAAAAGGAGAAGGGGGGGTCCCACGTAGGAGGAGCAGGTACAAATGCCCAGAGGGCAGAGAGAATCTTTATTCATCCAGGTATTCCAGCTTTGATTTCTTTATCTGGTGTCCCTCAGGCTCCATGCTGGACCCAGGCTGCCCTTGGAAATTAAGGGCTGTGTGAGCCCAGACCCACTCTTGTGGAGCTTTTTCTCTGATGAAGGAGACGCAGCCAGTCAAGTAAACCCATCGTTAAAATAATTTCTGGTAGCAGCAAGGGCTTTGAAAACCATTAAATGCTTGAATTTAGGGGCGCCTGGCTGGCTCAGTCAGTAGAGCATGTGACTCTCGATCTCAAGGTCGTGAATCTGAGTTGGACGTTGAGATTACTTTAAAAAAATTTTTTTTAGCTTAAAAAAATGTTTGGATTTAGTAAATTGCCTCTGGCTGAGGACATGTGCAGTCAGTTTTGGAGCTGGGGTGTTCCAAAGGCTTCTGTGAGGAGCTGATGTCTGAGCTGAGCTGAGAGGGGAAGGAGCTCACCTGCAACAACATGGAGGCAGAGGAAACAGCAGGTACAGAGGCCAAGAGGAGGTAAGGGGTAGCGTGACAGGAAGGTGAAGTGGAAAGGTCAGCAGGAGCTGGATCACACCCGACCTGCAAGCCACTGGAAGGAATCTGAATTTCGTTGCTTGTACAGTGAGAAATCGTAAAAGTCACATTGTGTTTCCTGATCAAGGGTTCTGCACGCATCAGCCCCACCTGTAACACCTTCTGTACCTGAACTAATCCATGTGACAATTCTGAAAGCAAAATGGGTTGACTCTCCCCATTTTACAACCCAGAAGACTATAAGAGGCTCAGAGAGGTGAAACCTTTTGTTTGAAGATAAGAACAATAATAACAGTCTTCCCCTTAGAGAAACAGCATAACACAGTGGTCACACGCTCAGGCAGATCTCAGCTTTGCTGCTTTCCAGCTGCAGGGCCTGGGGCCACTGATTCTACCTCTCGGGGTATCAGTTTCTTCATCTCTAAAATGGAGCTAATAACAGTACCCACCTCAGGTAGTTGTATGATGCTCAAATTAATTAAAATCCGGAAAACCCTTAGAATAGGGCTTAGTGCATCTCAAGAGCTCTGTGTATCGCAGGTCCTATTCTGATCCCAACACCAATCCTCCAAAGCAGGCACTATTAATTCACCCATTTTATAGACAAGGAACTGGGGCTTGGAGAGTGAAGCAGCCTCACACGATGATCATAGCCATAACCACTGAGGGCTCACAGCAACTAAGTGAATTTACATATATTGCAGATGTTTCAACCAGCCAACCAGCCTATGAAGTGCTTTGCTATCTCCATTTTACAGGTGAAACTGAGGCCTAAGAGGTCATTGGACCCAAGCCGCAAGACCATAATAATCAACACTCACTGATCCCTCACTCAGCACCAGGCCCTGTTCTGAGGCTCTGACAGCCCTGTCCAATAGCCCTTTCCATCTGTGAGGATGGAAATACTCTGTGTCTGTATTGCCCAATAAAATACCCGTAAGTCACGTGTGGCTATTGAGCACTTGAAATGTGGTGAGTGCAACCAGGGAAATTAAATTTTAATTTAATTTCAGTTCATTTAAATTGTTATATGTGGCTAATGCCTGTTTACTGCACTGAACAGGGCAGTTCTATAACCATCCTATAAGGTAGGTGTGACTTCTGTTCCCATATCATAGATGAGGACACAGAGGCACAGTGAAGTTAAGTCATACAGCCAGTAAATGGTGATGTCCAAACCGATTTGAGCTTAGGGCTCCCTCATCCACTCTCCATGCTGCTTGTGTGCCAGTGATCTATCGTGGTCTCTCAAGGACCGCCCCCCCCCCCCCCCCCCCCGCCTCCAAACCATATCCTCCCTTGTTTCCTCAGACGGGCACACTTCGGTTCTGCGGGACCACGGAGTTCGCCAGTGGCCAGTGGGTGGGCGTGGAGCTGGATGAACCTGAGGGCAAGAATGATGGCAGTGTTGGGGGTGTCCGGTATTTCATCTGCCCCCCCAAGCAGGGTCAGTCCCACCTGGGGCTCAAAAGGGGTGGTGGTGGGGTCCCCTCAGTAGTTCTGATGCTGGTGATGGGGGTGGGCAGAGGGCAGAGGCTTGGACCACTCCCAGAGCAGGCTCTGTCCCCCCAGGTCTCTTTGCCTCTGTGTCCAAGATCTCCAAGGTAGTGGATGCACCCCCCTCATCCGTCACCTCCACACCTCGGACTCCTCGGATGGACTTTTCCCGTGTCACTGGCAAAGGCCGCAGGGAACACAAAGGTCAGAGGGGGAGCCTTCTGGGTGAGGAAGGTGAGGCAAGCCAATTTGAGATATTCAGTGGGTAACCCAGCTTCAGTGACTCAGTTTCTCCTCAGGCCCAAACTCCTGTGTCAGAGGACAATCTTTGAGTTCTTCACTTCTATGACTCCGTTTCTCCTTTGACTTAGTACTGGCCCCACACCCAGTTCTTCAAAGGATCTGTAGGTTCTCTGCCTTCTATGACTTAGTCTCCCCTCAGGTCAAAGGTTTTCCCCCAGTTTTAGGGAAGCATCTGTGGGGTTCCTGGCTTTAGTGACTTGATTTACCTTCACACCCAACTCCTTCCTTCATTTTAAAAGGATAATTTCTGGGCTTCTGACTTCTGTGACTCAGTTTTTCCTTTGGCCCAAATAACCTCAGCTTTGAGAAAGGATTTTGGGGTTCTCCAGGTTCTTGACTCAGTTTCCCCTCAGGCCTAACACCCCCCCCCCCCCCCGTTTTCTGGCAGTTGAGATTGTTTCAAGCCCAAAGCCCTCTTGGTTCTGGGGAAGGCTCTAGAGTTCCTGATTGGAGTTAGGACAGAATTTCTATCTTGGGTCTTTCTGGGTGGCATGGGGTCCCCAGGGCTGGCATCTGGGGACCCCACTCCCTTCTCCTGTACCCTTTACTCCAGGCAAAAAGAAGCCCCCGTCATCCCCATCTCTGGGCAGCCTGCAACAGCGGGAGGGAGCCAAGGCTGAGGTTGGAGACCAAGTCCTTGTTGCGGGCCAGAAGCAAGGGATTGTGCGCTTCTATGGGAAGACAGACTTTGCCCCCGGTGAGGACAGTGATCTGGCGGGGCGGGGGGGGGGAGGGGGGGCGCAGGCAAGACCTTGAGACAGCCTGACACCCCGCTGCTGCAGGTTACTGGTATGGCATTGAGCTAGACCAGCCCACTGGCAAGCATGATGGCTCTGTCTTCGGTGTCCGGTACTTCACCTGCCCCCCACGGCATGGAGTCTTTGCACCAGCATCCCGAATTCAGAGGTGAGCCCAAACACCAACCCCAACCCAGGGCACCTCCCAGAACCCTGACTGCCCACCCCTCTCAGGTGTCTCTTCCTCTTGGACCAGGAGGACAGTGTGGCTACCCACCTCCACACTCTAGCTCTTTCTGTGTAGGTCCTGTGGGTTCAGCTCTCCTGGCCTCTCATGACTCTGACCCCTCCACTCTTCTCATGTCTCCCCAGGATTGGTGGATCCACTGACCCCCCTGGGGACAATGTCGGAGCCAAAAAAGTGCATCAAGTGACAAGTGAGCTGGGGCTGGGGTGTAGGAGGTAGAGGAGGGGTGAGGGTTTGGGGATAGGAGGAAGGGTCATGGGTTCTCAGGTATATGCTGGTGACAGAATCTCCAGTACTTAACAGGAGACACAGGGTCCAGGAAAATGATGAGACAGGATCCCAAAGAGGATAAGTGCTATGGGGGGTAGGGTATGGGGATGTTAACGACAAGGCTCTGGGCAGGCACCGGGGACATACATAGGTATGGGGGGATACAGGGAATATTACTGACATGAAATCCAGATGGGTATTGAAATGTGGGGTCCAGGTGGGTATTGGGGACATGGATAAGTATCAATGACAAGGAGTCTGGTTGGGTATTGAGGGTCTGTCATCCCCTCACCCAAACCTTGCGCCCCCTTCAGTGACACAACCCAAACGCACTTTCACGACAGTCCGGACCCCAAAGGACATCGCATCAGAGAACTCCATCTCCAGGTGGGTAGCCAACCCTTGGCCCACCTCCTGTGGGATGTTCAGGAGAGGTTGCACAAGGCCATTGGACATAGGGATCTGGACTTCTGGTTGGGGCTGGAAATAGAGGTTAGGAAAACTTGTGACTAGTCAGCTTACCCAGAAATGGTTTTTAGGGAGTGAGGTCCCACACTGAATTCTGGTGTCTTCCACTCTTACGGGGAAGGTAGAGGAGGCAGAACACTTTCCACTTCACAGGAGCCTGAGAAGGCATAGGCCAGGCAGGTAGAGACAGAATCCAGAAAGGCCGAATCCCAGACACTTGGGGAGGAGCAGGGGTGGGGGTGGGGTGGGGTGATTAATCCAGATGTTCCCGTATCCTGCATCAAGGTGTGACAGATGTGATTCTCCTTTCCAGGTTGCTCTTCTGCTGCTGGTTTCCCTGGATGCTGAGGGCGGAGATGCAGTCTTAGAGGCCTGGCTACCTGATAGAGCATCAAAGAGTCCCCTCTAGCATCTCCTGACACAAGGAGCCCCCGAGTCACCCTGAGATAGAGATTCCCAGTAACACATCCAGAATAGAGACCCCCATTAGCCAGCCCTCGATCACTGAGGCCCCATTAACAGAGTCCCTCATGATAACCCCCAAATACAGACCCCATGGTACCCAGAAAGAGATTCCCTGAGTGTAGCACCTTCAGGCTAGTCCCTGTCCCCAACCCCCAGAGCAGACCCCCCAGTAACGTATTTCCACATCACCTCAAATGATGGTGACCTCTACATCATGCTCCAGAGCAGAACATTCCTGAGTCATTCATCACTGGATCAGAACCCTCCCCCATAACAAAGACCCCCCACCCCCCATCAAATCCCTTTGAAATAAACACAGGTCATACCTCCAGAGCAACAGAGTAACAACTACATTTAACATCAGTTCCCTCAAGATGTTGTGACCCCCATGGTCACCCCAAAAGCTTACACTGCAATCAAAGACACCCTACATTAATAAATCCCTGCTCTTACCCCTCAAGAAGAGACCCACATTAACTAGCCCACTCTCACCCCCAATTTACAGACACCAAAACAGTCCTGGAAGTGCTAATTACAGGACCCCTAAGTCTTCCTACCCTCTGCGCCCTCAAGAAACCCCCAGTGCCTTGTATGAAGCCCACCCCACACGGCCCACAGCCCCTGTGCTGGCCAGGCTCCCAGAAAATTCTCTATTTTTTAAGTAATGACTTCCCCCTTTGGGGGACCCCAAAATTTGGAGGCCCCATTCTGGGACTCTGGGGATCCCAAATCCCAGAGTACATGTCCCAAATTCCCCTGTGCCCCCAAGTCCTACAGCCCCTAGAGGACCCTAAGGCCCTAACTCCCAGGATCCTCAAATCATGGAATCCCCAAATCCCCAGGGAATCCCAAATTTAAAAATTCAATCCCAAGCCCCCAGGAAACCCCAATCATGGAGGTCCTTGTGCCTGGGATGGAGGAGACTGCAGTCAGGATATGCATCCCGGGCTCCCAGGGCACCTCAAGCCCTATTCATAGGCACCAGGAGACCCCAAACAGGAATTCTCATCCCTGGAAACCAGAGCACTTCAATGCCGAGTCGATGGATCTCAAGATACCCAAATGCAAAGAGTCCCAGCCCCCAGGGAACCCCAAATCCTAAAGCCTCCATCTCTAATACATGAAGGGCCCCAAGGCCTTGAGGGGATCCCAAATCCTGGACCCCCTATTTCAATCTACGTTCTGGTCACAGGTCCAAAACACCAAATGAGTCACTGGCCCCAAAGGACCTCACAGCACCCGGGCCAGACCAGCAGCCTGAGGGAGAACCTAAAGGCCCAGGGGGTCTAGGGTGGACCTGGGGCCCTGACCAGCAAGGACAGCTCACGACTGCCCCTTCACTGCATGTCCCCAAACTCAGCATGACCCCTATCCCCTTCAATAAAGACGTTTCTATGGCTTGTCTGCGTCAGGTCAGTGTTTGGGGAGTTGTGGGCTTGCCTCTGGACCCTTGCCGGGGGAGGACGAGAGAGGAAGTCCTTCCTTCAGTCTAGCTTCCCTGTGGAATGGGCACGGAATGATTTAGCCTGCGGGAAGTCGTTCTAACAGTCTTGTCTCCTTCCGGCGGCCTCCCTTCCCATCTGGCCCCTTCCAAGGCTACCCCTCCCATCTGCGGCCCGTTCCGCAATGAGAACTGGCAGGGTCCTGGAGCCTGATTGGCCGGTGCCTGATGAAGACCCGTCTCCGAAGGATCCCCAGTGGCTCAGGGGCCAGGAGGTGCAGCCTATCACTGAAAGAGGGCGAAGGGGCGGGGCAATATTGGGTGAGAGCGCCGATTGGGTGGAAGGCGGACGCTTAGAACCTTTGAGAGTTCCCGTTGGTCTGAGGAATCCTGCGTCGGGAACGTGGGGCGGAAGTGGCTGGGACGGGAATGGGGGTGTTTAACTCGGGTGCTGGAGGGGACACTGGTGGACGGTCAGTTTTGGGGTGGCTGGGGATGGAGATGGGGGTCCGAGAGGGCTGAGAATGGGGACCTGAGGAAGCTCAGATGGGAGTCCAGGGAAGCTCAGTGTGGAATTCTAGGAGACTCGGGGTTGGGAGTCTAAGGGGTTCAGGTAGGGAAGAAGGTTGGAGAGGAGTCAGGCTCCGGACTGAAGGCCCAAGGTTGCTGCGGGGAAGGGGCTCTCGGGAGGAGAAGTGGGAAAGGGGCCGGAATGGGGAGATCTGAGGAGACTCAGATTGGGGGCACATGGGTGTTGAGAATGGGGCATCTGAAAGGGTTTGAGGCGGGAAGAGGGTGCGTGGTGACTTTGAATATTGTTAGACAGCCAGACTCATGGTTGCTTGGTAACCTGATGTTGTTAGGATGGGATCTCAAACTGTTTGAAGGGGCTTTGGGTGCAGCCATGGAAGCTATGCGTGGAGCTCTTGAGAATGGCTCCCAGTGAGGTCAGAGGATGTTCTCTGTGAGAGCCTTAAGAGGGCAAAAATGTGTGTAGTTTGATGGGCCGTTGTGGATGGAGTTTGGGGCAGTGGGTCAGCGTTCTGGGTGCACTGTGCCGGGTGGCTTTTGAGATGCTGAGGACTCGGGTTTTAGAAACCAAGTAAGTTTCCCTGTAGGGCTGAGGTGAGGCCCTGGCCCTTGATAAAGCAGAAAATAGGATCATAGCCTGAGGGTGGGAGGCTTGGTGACTTCAGAGTGTCCTCCCCTCTCCCACAGGACTGGGTGCATGGAGTTGGTGTCGATGGAGGATCAGGACGCCAGGGTTCCAGCCCTGGAACCATTCAGGGTGGAGCAGGTTGTCAGGACTGGGGGTGCAGAGGGTGAAGGTGGGGACTAGAGGGTGGGAGATAAGAGTGGGGATAATGACTCCTGCGTCTGTGGGCTGGGACTGCTCCCTCCCTCCAAATTCCTTCTTACCCTCAGGATATAGCCCCACCCTCATCCCCACTTCCCACCCCCAAAACGGACATTAGTCCTTTGAGGTCAGGCCCTGGCCTGTCTGGGAACATCCGGAGCCTCTTTCAGAGTCTGCTCAGTGATACTAGGGCTCCTGTGTAGGTCTAAGGGCTGCACGTTCAGGGGGCTCTCTATCCTAGGCACCACCTATAATCTACTATGTCCCTGACTTCATCTCCAAGGAAGAGGAAGAGTATTTGCTTCGACAGGTAACCCCAGCACCTTTCTGGTTTGTTTTTCCCTCCTTCCCAGATCCCTCCCCAAACCCTCGGTTCTGTGTGAGAGAGCCTAAGGCTGCAGTGAAGATCCTGGCAGGAAGGAGAGTGCCACCCAGCACCCATCCCTCATCTTCCCTATTTCTCTCGCAGGACCTGCTGGGGCCTGTCAGAAAGAGCCTTTCCCAGGAGGCTTAGGGGAAACCAAAGTGATTCTTAGAAAGGTAGTTATTACGCAGCTCAGACTCCCTGTGCCCAGTCCAGCCTCCCAAACAGATGAAATTGCTAGAAACAGATTCCTTATGCTAGAAACAAGGAAGTTACAAACCTCCTGCCCTCTGTGCTGAGGTAGCTCAATCCTGCTATCATAGAGAAAAGGGGGTTATAAACATAGGCTGAGATAGCCCAGTTTGGGCCCTTGAGGTTGGGGGAATTAAGAATTTGCAGTTTCAGATTTCTTTGCTGACATAACCCAGGCATGAGAATGCTACAGGGTAAATTCTTCCCTCTGCTGAGATAGCTCAGCATAGACCCAGCCAGAGTCTTGGTAACAAGGTCACCAAGCACGGATCATCTGTGCTGAGATGGCCCAGTATTCTGTATTCTATTCTTAAGGTTTGGGGAAAAAAGAATTTACAAAGCTCAGAGCTTTTGCAGCCTCAGACTTTAATTACAGAGCACAGATCTTCCTTATGCCATCCCAAGTAGTCTTGTCAAGTTGAGTTCCAGGAGTAAGTTAGCAACAGAACACAGACTCTTTTTTTTTTTTTTTTTTAAGAGAGAGGGAGAGAGAGAATCTCAAGCAGACTCCCCGCTGAGCGTGGAGACTGACGCAGGACTCCATCTCAGGACCCTGAGATCGTGACCTGAGCCAAGATCAAGAGTCAGATGCTTAACCGACTGAGCCACCCAGGCACCCCACAGAACACAGACTCTTGTGCTGAGGTAGCCCATTCCAGCCCCATAACTGTGAAAGGAATGAGGAGATTATCGAGTAGATTACAGACTTCTTGGAGATTGCCCATTCTAGACTCTTGGGATCTTGGCAGCGGAGAATTTTCAAAGTACTCTCTTTGCTATGCTGAGATAGCCCAGCCTAGCACATTTCCTCCCCCAGGTGATAGGAACAAAGAGGTTCCAGAAGTCAGGCTGTGCCGAGATAGCCCACGATTCAGGAAATTACAGAGGGCACACTATTTGCTGGGTTAAAAGAGTCCAGTCCATGGAGGGTATTATGTTGAGTGAAATAAGTCAAACAGAGAAAGACATGTGTCATATGATCTCACTGATACGAGGAATTCTTAATTGCAGGAAACAAACTGAGGGTTGCTGGAGTGGGGGGTGGGGTGGGAGGGATGGGGTGACTGGGTGATAGACACTGGGGAGGGTATGTGCTCTGGTAAGCGCTGTGAATTGTGCAAGACTGTTGAATCTCAGATCTGTACCTCTGAAACAAATAATGCAATATATGTTAAGAAAAAAAAAAGAAGAAGAAGGTAGCGGGAGGGGAAGAATGAAGCAGGGAAATTTGGAGGGGTAGACGAACCATGAGAGACGATGGACTCTGAAAAACAAACTGAGGGTTCTAGAGGGGAGGGGGGTGGGAGGATGGGTTAGCCTGGTGATGGGTATTGAGGAGGGCACATTCTGCATGGAGCTCTGGGTGTTATGCACAAACAATGAATCATGGAACACTTCATCTAAAACTAATGATGTAATGTATGGGGATTAACATAAGAATAAAAAAAAAAAAAGTCCAGTCCAGCCCAGAGCTCTGAGTAGATTCAGACCACGATTGTGTAGCTCTGGTTCCTTTCCTTGATCCTGGTAGACACAGGGGCGAGGGCAAACAACAAAATCCTGGGAACACTGTCTGAGAGAATAGTCCCACAGACTTTGAGATGACCCATTCCCATCCCAGGTAGAGGGCCTTATGTTGACCTGGGTGGGAGAATCAGAGTGGTCCTGAAAAAGGACTGACCCCTCCCCACCTCCTAGGTCTTCAATGCCCCAAAGCCAAAGTGGACCCAGCTCTCTGGGAGGAAGTTACAGAACTGGGGTAAGTGTCCCTGCCTGGGGGCATGGGCAATTTGGGGTGTAGGCTGGGGCAGGTGGCTCAGGTTGGTGACACTGGGTGGGTCCTTGAGGGTTCAAGGGGTTCCAAGGGCCAGGAGGATTCTGAGGGGTGAGCAGAGGTTCTGAGAGATGAGGGATTTCCTGATGAGTTGGGGGATATCTCAAAGTGTCCAGGGGTTTGAAGAAGTCAGGACGCCTTGGAAGCGTCGGATGGTGGTCTCCAGAGTCAGAGGTTCCCCAGGGTCAAGAGTGCTCCCAGCCACTGGGATATCCCTAATGGGGGCTGCAGGTGCCAGGGCTCCTCGGTTGGGCGTCCTCAGGACCCCATTGCCCTCTCCCAGGTGGGCTCCCCCATCCCCGGGGGATGGTTCCTGAGCGGCTTCCTCTGTGGCTCCAGCGCTACGTGGACAAAGTATCTGACCTCAGCCTTTTTGGGGGTCTCCCAGCCAACCACGTCCTTGTGAACCAGTATCTGCCTGGGGAGGGCATCATGGTAAGCACACACCTTCGCCCCGACCCTCAGACCTCTGACCCACCATGGGGCAGGGCATTGTGTTGACCCACCTCTACTCATTAAGCAGCCACATACTCCAACCAGGCATTCACCCTCCATCCCAAGCAGGGGCACCCTCCTTGAGCCCCAGAGGGTGGGGGGTGGGGACTCCTGCCCTGTCCAGCCTTGGTGCCCACTCCCTAGCCCCACGAGGACGGGCCACTCTACTACCCGACCGTCAGCACCATCAGCCTGGGCTCCCACACCATGCTGGACCTCTACGAGCCGCGGCAGCCAAAGGATGATGACCCTGCAGAGCAGGTGGGCCCCGAGACACTGTCCCAGCCACTCGTGGGCATCCCGACATCCCACCTCCTCCAAGAGGCCCCAGGGTACCCCTGATACTCTTCCAGACACCTTTCCCCCGTCCCCTCATGGAATGCACCCACATCCTCCCAGACTCCAGCCCCATCCATTTGCAGGGTGCCCTAGAAATGATATCTGTAGACACCCCAGTGCCCTCACCTGCTAAATCGGTGCCCCGATGCCCTACGGATCCCCTGGTCCCACATGTTCAGAGTGCTCCAATAGCCCAAGGTCCATATTCCCTAAGCAGGACTCCCCAGTACTCCAACAGACACTGGTATCCTCAGATACCCCAATACCATTTACTCGCGAGTGTCCCTGACGTCCTCTTAGACATCCTCTCTTTGCCCACTGCACAGGGCAGCCCAACACAGACCTCTCTGCCACTCCAGTAGTGTAGATCTGCCTTGTAGGACAACCTCACATTCTCCTTGGGGCCTCAACCCGTGACTCGCTGCTCACGGACCCCCCAGATACAGCGACTCCCTTCTGTGAGGGCTGCGTGTAATAGCAGCTTCCCTGACCTTTTTCTGAGGAATGCGCTTCGATGCCTCAGGGTTCACAGAAACTCCCCTGGACACCCTGATCCCAGCTGCTCCTTTTTCGCCCTACATGCTCCTGGATAGGCTGACACCCCCTTCTACTGTGGGTGTCCTCAAACATCCTGATGTTTGTAGACAGGCCCAGACCACACCGGCTCCTCCCCACCTCACTGCGGCCCCTTCTTCGCTTCAGCCAAGCCCTCAGTCCAGTTCCATCCAGTTTCCTAGGACTACTGAGCCCTGGGTCCAAGCTGCAGCCAAGGGACTGCTGGCCCTTGCCCCCCACCTGCGCCCACTAACCGAGTCCCGTAGGATTTCCACTCCAGAGCTTCTCCCAGGGAGCACGCTTGCCCCTCAGCCTTGGCCCCTGGGAACTCGCTGACCTACTCACCGCCCCCACCTCACCTTTAAAGTCCCCTGATCACTCTGAGCCCCTGACTTCTGGGGACCCGCTGACCTTCAGCCCGCCCCGCAGCCCCGGTCCCCGCCCCGGCCAGCTACCTCGCTGCTGCTGGAACCGCGCAGCCTGCTGGTGCTCCGAGGCACCGCCTACACGCGCCTCCTCCACGGCATCGCGGCTGCCCGCGTGGACGCGCTGGACGCCACCTCCCTGCCGCCCAATGCCGCCGCCTGCCCGTCGGCGCGGCCCGGAGCCAGCCTGGTGCGGGGCACGCGCGTCTCGCTGACCATCCGCCGCGTGCCCCGCGTGCTGCGCACCGGCCTCCTGCTCGGCAAGTGAAGCCAGGCGCCCGGCCCGCTCGCATTCCCCGGCTCTGCGCCTCTTCCCTCCAGGCAGCTGCGACCCTGTGACCTTGGAACCCTTGGGCCGAGGCGGGAGACCCCCCTTCCCCCGCCGCGGGTTATTTATTTTCCCTGTAACTTGGTGGAAACTAAAGGAAGAGGTTGCATTTCAAATAAACCAATAAAAATCTCTCTTTGGTCTCGGATTGGTGGGGGGGGGGGCAGATGCATGGGTTCCTGAGGGGCAGTGTCTGGGACCTTGGATGGTGTGGGCCCTGGGGTCAGATGTATGGGCCCTGAGTGGGGTTAGAATCCAGGACTCTTGGGTCAGGGTTCTATCTGGAAACCCCTTAGGTGGGATGAATGGGGTGAGCCTAGGTTCAGCTAACTGGCCTGCTCGGGAGGAAGGAGTTAAATGGCACTGCTGTCACCTGAGCTGGGCATCAGGTTACCTGTGTCCAGGTTCTGCTTGTTAGAAGGTAGAGCTGAGCCTGCTCCTGGGCCTCTGGCTGCCCAGGAGCCAGGGAAAGGACTCTCACTGGGGATCCTCACTGACTCTGTCCCCAGGCTCCCAGGTATGGCCCTGCCCCCACCTCTGGGCCCTAGACTCCCCTCAGAGCCCCTCAACCACCCCCCTGGAGCCCCTAGGGAACTGGACATTGCTGGATGTACCATCTGCCCTGCATCTGGAGAGGAGAGAATCAGGTAGGGGCTGGGGCTTTTGAAACTTGGGTCCCAAAAGGGTGGGGGCAGTAGCGGGCGCATTTTGAGGGTGAGAGGTACTGTGGCTATGATCACCTAGGGACGTGGCAGAGGGAGCTGCAGACAGGGGTGAGGTAGGGTGGATAATAGGCATCTAGGCACCCAGAGGCCTGTCAATGCTTCATACCACCCAGACCGGACCAGGCCCAGAAACTGGGGCAAGACGCCTTGGACCCTCCCCAACACTTCCAGGGTGGGTTGAGGGGCACTGAGCCTGCTGCTGGTCCCCTCAGATTGCCAACACCCTCTTCCAGTGAGGACCCAGCTGGGGGCAAACCGTGTGAGGTAAGCTGAGGTGATCCAGGCCCCCTGTGGCAGCCCCCACTTCCTCTCCCCTAGATTCTGGGGATGAGATGATGATTCTGGAAAAGCGCTGGGTATCTGTGGGGGGGGGCAGGGGATGCTCTAGAAAATGACTTACCAATCACAATAGAAGATTTTCATTATTTTACCAACTGGGAGAGAATTATTTCATCATTGACTCTGGTACAGTCCCATTCCTTGTGGGGATATCCAGCTCCATCACCCCTCCCTGTCCAGGCCCCCAGGCCCCATATGTCCATGTTTCTAGGAGCCTTGAAAACCTGGAGGCTTTGAACTAGAAGTCTTCAGGCCTGGGTCCCCCAGGAAGGACTCCAGGTGGCAGCCACCCTGGTGCAGACCCAGAGATGGACGCTGCGACAGGAGGAGCAGCAGAGGGGTGGCCCACCGGCCCTAACTCAGTCCCCTGTATTCCCCAGCACCTCAGCTCCGGCCAGGAGGTATTGGAGGCCGAGCAGGACAGCCTAGCCCTATGCCTGTTGGGGCTGGGCCTCCGGCTGCAGGACCAAGAGCAAGGCCTGGGGCCCTGGGCATCAGCCCAGAGCAGGATGGGCCAGCTGCAGGTGGGCAGCGGGAGGCCAAGATGTGGGAGGGTGAGCAGGGCCTCAGGAGTGGGTGCCAGGTTCCTGGGCTGGGAAATGGGTCTATTCCACGTGCCAGGTGTCTGGGTAGGAAAGACAAGAAGGGATGTAACTCCAGGTCCCAGACCTCTGGTGCTACTGGTGTGTGGGGGTACGGGTGGGGGGTGGCGGGTGGTGTCTGACCTTGTATCCCCAGGCCCTCCAGGCAGACCTGCGTGGGGCAGCTGAGCGTGTAGATGCCCTGCTGGCGTTCAGTGAGGGGCTGGCACAGCGGAGTGGGCCTCGGGCCCAGGCATCGCTGGAGCAGGTCCTGAGGGCCCTCAGAGCCCACCGAGGCAGCATCTTCCGGCGACTGTGGTGGCTGGAGGCCCAGCTGGTCAGCTCTAGCCTGGTATGGCCCACCCTGGCAGGCCCCGCCCCAGGTACCAATTCCACATCCCCCATGACTCTGTCCTCTGACCAGGTATTTGAGGAGGCCAGCCCACTGGATCAGGACTTGGAAGTCGAGGGGGACTTGGACGGGCCAGGACCTGGTGGGGTCTGGGGGCCCTGGGCACCCAGTAGCTACCCCACTCCCGCAGAGTTGGAGTGGGACCCGGCAGGGGATGTTGGAGGCCTCAGGCCCTTGGGGCAAAAGACAGCCTGGACACCAGGAGCTCCCTGTGAGCTGTGTGGCCACAGAGGCCCCCAGGGCAGGGGACAAGGCCTTGAGGTGAGAGCAGGTGGGGGATACCCCCTCCCGCACAGGTACCCTTGGGACACCTCTGTGTGTCTCTTATTAGGGTACTTCTTGGTGGCTCTGTCTCTCCCTCAATCTCTCTGTGTCTCTTTCTCTCTTGCCGTCTCAATGTTGTCCTCCCTCCCTCCCTACCCCCCCTGCCTCTCTTGGTCTCTGTGTCTTCTCTTTTCCCTCTTGTGGTCTCTGTCTGCACTTCCCCATTGCCCCCGCTCTCCCTCACTCTCCCCTCTGCAGCCACGTTAGCCTCCTTGTTCTTCATTCCAAAGTCACTCCTATCTCAAAGCCCCCAGACTCATGCCCCTTCAACTCCTCACTTCATTCCAGTCTCTCCCCAAATGTCACAAAAAATTTTTTTAACTGAGTTTTATGCCCAACGTGGGTCTTGAACTCACAACCCTGAGATCAAGAGTCACATGCTCTACCAACCAAGCCAGCCAGGCGCCCCTCCCAAATGTCACCTCTTCAGAGAGGCCTGCCCTGACTTCCAAACATGATCACTCCTTAACCTCTTTATTTCCTAACAGTACTTACCACATCTTGTCATTGTACATTTATTTATGTGTAGTCTCTCTCTGCTAGAATATAAGCTCTGTGGACACTAGGACTTTGCCTGTGTATAGATTCTAGAACAATGCCTGGCATGTAATAGACACTCATTAAATATTTGTTGAATGAATGAATAAGTAATGTCTCTTTTCTCTTGGTTTCTTCGGCTCTGCCCCCTCTCTTTCTCTCTCCCTGAGATCTTTTTCTTCCCCCAGAATCTCATCTCTGTGACAAGCCCGTCTTGGCCCTTGCCCAACTTTGTGTCTGTCCCTAGTTCTCCAAGGACCCCACACCTCTCTTTCCCCACAGGACATGCTCATGTTGGGCTTCAACCACCGGAAACACTTGGCAGGTCACCAAAGATGTTCCCTGCTCCAGAAGTCTCAGGTGAGCAGGTCCTCAGCCAGGGCTATCACTCGGGTATCTTGATGGCAAGTGACAGAAACCTAGCCCAAATTGAATTACACAAAAGAAAGGGATGCTATTTTTTCATGTAAGTGAAAAGTCCGGGTGCTGCTGAAAAGATCTCAGGTGCTATCAGGGCTCAGTCCTTCCCTCTCTCGGGCTCTTCTTCTCCAAGGTAGTTTCCTTCTCAGCAAATGGCGGCCCCAGCAGCTAAACACTCACATCCCACTGGTTCACCCACCCAAGGAGAAGCAGAGCGCCACCAACCTACTGGCAGCAAAGTCCCAGGGCTGACTCCCACTTGGCCAGCTTGGGTCATGACCTACACCCTGAACCAATCACGGCGGCCAAGCTGATGGAGTGCTCTCATTGGCCAGATCGGGCTCACATGCCCAGTCATGGAAGTGGGGAGAGCCTGAAGGCCTGAGGGTGGGGAGGCAGGATGCCCTCCACCCCCTGCACACATCGAGCCACCGTTATCAGGAAAAGGAAGATTGGATGGAGGGCAGGCACAGATATCCACCCCACTTGAAGATATTCCAAGCCCATGTGGGTTGGGTCCTGAGGGTTCAGGGGGCGCCAGGAAAGGAGGAAAAATAAACTCAGCCCTGTAGGTCTGTAGTAGTAAGGAAGAGTCCAGACTAAGTGTTACTTCCATCCATTCTGCTGCTGGCTGCTGTCTCCCCTTAGGACAAGAAGCAAGCATCTCCCAATCTCCAGGACTTGATGTTGGAGGTAGACCCCGGGTGAGATGCCTGGGAGATGGGTCTGGGGTGGGGGTGGGGGGGAGCAGGGCATGATCATGGTGGCAGCGCACCACGCACTTAACACTGCATTTCCCTTCACAGAGCCCCTCCTCCTGCATCCGGGCCCTCCCTGACCTTCCTCCTCCTCCTCCTCTTCCTTCTCCTGGTGGGTGCCATGTTGCTCCTGCCACCTTCAGGGAGCTCCTGCTGCTGTCCTGCCCGACTGACCAGGACACCTTACCTGGTGCTCAGCTATGTCAATGGTCCCCCCCCAATCTGAGTATGTAGCCCAGACATATGTAATAAACGGTCACTGTCAAATGATGTGTCTTAGTCCGTGTGGTCTACGGTAATAAAGTCACAGACTGGGTGGCTTAGAAACAATAGAAGTTTGTTTCTCACAGTTCTGGAGGCTGGGAAGTCCAAGATCAAGGTGCCAGCAGATTGGGTAGCCGATGAGGGCTGCTTCCTGCTTCACAGATGGTCGCCTTCTCGCTGTCTCCTTACATGACAGAAGGGGCAGGGAGCTTTCATACGGTCTCTAAATCCCTTCCATGAGGGCTCCACCATCATGACCTAATCCCTCCCTAAAGGCGTCACCTCCTAATATTATCACATTGGGGGTTAGGATTTCAGCATATGAATTTTGAGGGGGCACATTCAGACCATAGCAGAATGTGCGAAGATATTGGGTGTCTGAGTTCAGAATTTGGGATACAGCTCTGATGTCTGGACGGCCCGCTCCACAGATCCCTTTGCTTTGAGTGTACAACACAGAACGAAATCACCCCATCTTGGATCAGGGTCCCCCAGCCCCTGAAACAAAGATTCAAGCACAAGTAGTTTATTGGGGAGGTGACCCCCTAAGCAGACTGATTAGGGGCGTGGGGGAAGTGAGCCAGGGAAGGCAGTTAATGAGCTGGTTGCTGGGCATCTGGGGCTCCATCCCACTAGGGACCTCTGGGAGAGTCAATGGAACACACTCAAAGTGGTTCCACCCAAAGGGTGAAGAAGTTGTGGCATTTATGTACCAGCTTCTGTGTCTCATTGGTTAGGGACTGTTCCTGGAGATGCCAACTCCCCAGCACATCCCGCCTCTCCTGCCTGTCCAGGCTCCACAGGCAGAGAGGCACAGGTGCTTGCCCCAGGAAGCTCAAAGTGTGTGCGGGAAGGATGCAGGTGACGTGGGCCAGCTGCCGACACCTGCTACAGCCCCTGTCCGGCATCCATACAGGTGCTCTGTTCAAATATTCTACATGGGGGTGGGGGCGCCATGTTGTTTGAGCATCTGCCTTCGGCTCGGGTCATGGTCTCAGGGTCCTGGGATCCAGCCCCGCATTGTGCTTCCTGCTTCACGGGGAGCCTGCTTCTCCCTCTCCCTCTACCTGCTGCTCCCCCAGCTTCTCTCTCTCTCTCCCTCTGTCAAATGAATAAATAAAATCTTAAAAAATTCTACATGGCGGTCTCCCAGACTGGGCCATCCCTGGCGTAGGACTATGAAATCCCACTTTCCCGGGGTCTTGACGACACCAAGCTGAATTGTGAGGGCTTGGTCCCGGAGTCCAGTCCTCAGCCTCAGGTGTCTGAGCTCATCCTCTCCTCAGAGTTTATGCAGTCAGGACAAGAGGAACAGGACCAGACTCAAGAACAGAGGCAGGAGCCCTGTGCCAGGCTCCTGGATGTGCACTAAACACACGTCCCTTCTTTAATGCTCACAACCACCCAATGGTGTGTCCCCACTTAACAGAACATGAAACTGAGGCTCTTGGGGGAAGAGAGGAAGCCTCTAGCTCAAGACCACACAGGGAGCAAGTGGCTGAACCCAATCCCCACTGATGTAAGCAGAAATGGGAACTAATTTGTGGGTAACTGAAAAGTTCAGGCCGCAAGTACCGTTGGGTCCAGGGGCACACATGGTATTTCCATCTCTCAGTTCTTTCCACTGGTTTGGCTTCCCTAGTGGTAGCCAGAGTGCCCCTCAAAGCCTCCAAGCACACATCCCACCAATTTAGCAGCCAATAGGACTTCACTCTTCCCTTACAGCTCCAACCAGAGTCCCAAAGCTGGCTCCCCTGGCCAGTGTCACCTGCTCCCCTGGCAGCTGCAGTCAGCCCTCCTAAACCATGTGTACTGAAAATGGGGGGGAGCGGGTTTACAAAGAAAACTGGGGGGCTGTCACCACAAGGTGGAATGGACACCGAGGGAGGGAGGCAGGGAGCAGCAGATTCCAAGAGACTCCAGGTTCAGGGAAAAACCAGAATGCAAACCAGGGTCTGTCTTGTTTCCACACCAAGTCTCTGTCCCCAGTCAAGGAAGAGCCATGTCTCCCTAGAGTCACCACACACAGTGTGGGCAGAGTCTTGGTAATACTGACCCAACTGACTGGGTAATGGAACAAGTCTGTGCCATTCATTTATTCATTCACTCAAAACTAAGTGTCTGCTTTGAGTCAGTCAGTTCCTGGTCAAAGAGCAGGACTACCACAGTGAACAAGACAAGTGAAAATCCTTGTCCCTGTGGGGCCAACATTCTTTTTTTTTTTTTTTTAAAGATTTTATTTATTTATTTGTGAGAGAGAGAATGAGATAGAGAGCACATGAGAGGGGGGAGGGTCAGAGGGAGAAGCAGACTCCCTGCCGAGCAGGGAGCCCGATGCGGGACTCGATCCGGGGACTCCAGGATCATGACCTGAGCCGAAGGCAGTCACTTAACCAACTGAGCCACCCAGGCGCCCTGGGGCCAACATTCTAATGGAGGCAATCATCAGTCAATAAAAGGACTAGGTAAAATATGTAACAGGTCAGGTGGTGATTAAGTGTTAAGGAGAAAACTAAAGTAGGCAAAGGGAAAGAGGATAATTTAATTAGGGCAGTTGAGGAAGGCCTCAGGGAGACAATTATGTCATTATGTTGTAATTATGTGATTAGGGTAAATTGTAGTGAGGAAAGAAGCCACAGGACTCCTAGAGCAGTGCTGTCCCAGACAGATAATGTGAGGCACAAATATAATTTTATTATTACTTTTTAAAGGAGATAGAAGTTTACTGAATACACCACAATGGAGCAGTGAGCAGGACAGCAAAGGAGAGACTCTGCTAAGAGGCGGTGGTGAGGGGCTATAGTTACAGGGTGGAGTGAGAAAGTATGGGAATGTATGGAATTTTCCCCTTTTTGGTAATTGTGCCTGCTTGAGGTAGCCCATTGGTCAGTGAGGGCCTATGATTATTTCCAGGTGGGTCGCTTAATGAGACTTTTTTGCATTCAGCTTGGTGGCCGCTGTGGGCCCTGTTGCCTTGCTCAACTTTCCATCACTCAAGGCTGTTGCCTAAAAGTGGCCTCTACATACCACCCTCCCCCACCCCGGGGCCCCCAGCCCCCAGATCTGGCATTTGCATGGAGGGCCCATCTCCATGGGGCACCTGGGTGGGTCAGTCAGTTAAGCATCTGCCTTTGGCTCAGGTCATGATCTCAGGGTCCTGGGATCGAGCCCCGCATAGGGCTCCCAGCGTCTCCCGCTCCCTCTCCCTTTGCCCTTCCCCTCCTGCTTGTGCTCGCTCGCTCAAATAAATAAATCTTTAAAAAAAATAACTTTTGGGCGCCTGGGTGGCTCAGTTGGTTAAGCGACTGCCTTCGGCTCAGGTCATGATCCTGGAGTCCCGGGATCGAGTCCCGCGTCGGGCTCCCTGCTCAGCAGGGAGTCTGCCTCTCTCTCTGACCCTTCCCCCTCTCATGCTCTCTATCTCATTCTCTCTCTAATATAAATAAATAAAATCTTTAAAAAAATAAAAAATAAAAAAAATTAAAAAATAACTTTTCTAGTAAACAGTAGAAACAGGTAAAATTAATTTTAATAATTTTTACTCTATTTAACCCTGTATACCCAAAATATTATCACTTCAATATGTAATCAATCTAAAAGTGTGATATTTTACAATTCTTTTTTCTTACCAAGTCTTTGAAATCTCGTGTGTATTTTATTTTATTTTTTTAAAGATTTATTTATTTGAAAGAGAGTATGAGCGGGAGGGGCAGGGGGAGAGGGAGAGAGAATCTCAAGTGGACTCCATGCTGAGCATGGAGCCCGACACAGCCTCAATCTCACGACCCTGAGATCATGACCTGAGCTGAAACCATGAGTTGGACGCTTAACCGACTGAGCCACCCAGGCACCCCTGGTGTGTATTTTATACTTTAGAGCACATCTCAATTCGGACACTTTTCAACAGATAAAATGAAATGTAATCCTACCAAAACAACAAAGTTGTGTTTAATGGAAAAAAACATTTTACGCTGCTTGTTTTAAAATTTAAATTACTGGGGCGCCTGGGTGGCTCAGTCATTAAGCGTCTGCCTTCGGCTCAGATCGTGATCCCAGGGTCCTGGGATCGAGCCCCACGTCCTGGGATCGAGCCCCACGTTGGGCTCCCTGCTCAGCGGGAGGCCTGCTTCCCCTCTCCCACTCCCCCTGCTTGCGTTCCCTCTCTCGCTGTGTCTCTGTCAAATAAATAAATAAAATGTTTAAAAAATTTTTAAATTACTTAAAATTTATAAAATTTTGGGGGCTCCTGGGTGGCTCAGTCAGTTGAGCACCCGCCTCTCGGTTTCGGCTTAGGTCATGATCTTGGGGTTGTGGGATCGACCCCAGGTTGGGCTCTGTGCTCAGTGCAGAGTCTGCTTCAGATTCTCTCTCCCCGTCTCTCCCGCTCACTCTCTCTCTTTAAAAAACATTTATAAAATTTTTTTTAATTCCTCAGTCCCAAATCATATTTTTTAAAAGTTTATTTAAGTAATCTCTACACCAGACATGGGGCTTGAACTCATGACCCCAAGATCAAGAGTCGCATCTTCCAACTGAGCCAGCCAGGTGGCCCTCAATCACATTTCAAATCGTCAAATCTCAGGTTGCTCCCTGTTATATTGGACAGTGCAGACCTGGAGGAAGAGTGTTCCAGGTAGAGGGAAAAAGTGCAAAGGCCCCAGAGGTAGAAGTGTGCCTGGCAAGGGGGAAGGCCAATGTAGTTGGAGCATGAGTGGTAGAGGGAGAAAGTAGAAGGAGGTGAGGTGAGAGAGGTGATGGGGCCAGATCAGATGAGGCCTTGTGGACCACAGTGAGGACCTCTGAGTTAGGCTGGGGACCAACAGAGTTTGTTTTGTTTTCCCAACTTCAATTCGGATACTTTGAGAACTTGTACAAAAGAAGGGACAGCATTACAAGTCTTCGTGGACTCATCACCAGCTCCAGTCATTATCAGTTCAGAGCCAATCCTATTTAATCCTCCCAGGCACCCACTCCCCTCTCCCTAGACTACTCTGAAG